TCCTCCTACACACGCACGCTCGCAACGCGCCTTGCCTTTTCTTACTCTCTCACACACACACGCGCGCGCGCTCTCTCTCTCTCTCCATAGCATCGTCTGCCTTGCACTCCTGAGAGAAAAAGGTGCAAACGTGATGGCGGATGGGGAAGCAGAAGCAGAAGCAGAAGCACGCGCAGCAAGGGCAGCTAGAGCTCGAAAGCAGGTCAGTTTGCAGGTTTGAAAAGGGGGCATCAGCGCAGGTGGGGAGCGAATGAATGGTCCTTTGTTCTGATCCTCTTACACACACACCCATGCGCGCTTCAGCTCAAGAAGGCGCAAGCGAAACGCAGATTGGCGCAAGAATCTCGTGGGTCTGCGGGTGGAGATGCGCTGGCAAGGGATATTGCGGATGGCAAGTTGATAAAGGCCAAGCAGGGCGAGGGCGTCGAGCAGGGAGAAGGGGAGGGGGAGGGAGAAGGGGAGGAGCGGCAGGAGGCAATGATATCGACGCAGATGTTGCACGAGCAGCAGCAGCGATACGCACACACGCACACCGCCCTCTCTCACTCGCAGCATCACTCTCCCTTTGCGCTGCCCAGCACGGCCGAGGAGGAGATGATTGCTGCGGATGCTGCGCATCAAGGCGCGAATGGAAGCAGCGGCAGCGGCAGCGGCAGCGGCAGCGCCACACACACCACCACCACCACCACCTTGTCCCTATCTCCTCCCACGCCCGCAGCAGCGACGCAGTTATCGCAACAGCAGCAGCAAGAGCAAACCCAATCTCCCTCTATGCGTCTGCACGCTCGCACTCATTCCAGCAGCACCAGCAGTTCAAGCGGGACGAATCATGCGCCTTCTTCCCCCACACATGCGCGCACAGCATCATCGGGTATACAAGTCCATGTTCGACCTGCCCATATCCGTTCGCCATCCACCGCCTCTAGCTCTTCCTACGGCGCAGGTGCAGGTGCAGGCGCAGGCGCAGGCGCAGGTGCAGGAATCAGTCATGCGGCTGTCAGACGTCTCTCTTCCTCCCAGCAGCACGACGCATCGTCCACGCACCACCACCACCACCAGCAGCAGCAGCAGCAGCAGCAGCACGGGGAACATTCTGCAGAAGTGTTGAATTTGAGAAGTACGGTGCAGCTGCTGTTGGGCGATAAGAGCAGCTTGACCAGCAGGCTCAACGAGCTCGAAGGTAAGCTGGCGGCAGCGGCGGCGGCAGCGGCAGCGCAGCAAGTGGACGGCAAGAGGTTGGAGGATGCGAATAGGGCGGCAGAGGATGCGCAGATGCGTACAAGGGAAGTGTACGCGTTGCAAAAAGAGGCGGAAGAGAGGTGCAGAAGATTGGTGAGTGAGGGGAGGGCAGAGCGAGTGTCAGAGGGGCTAGGTGCGGTGCGGTGCGGTGCAGTGCAGTGTGGTGAAAGTCGTGAGCATGCTGATGATGAGGAGCATTCTCACGATGCGCAGCAACGAGAGCTCAAAGAGTCGCGAGAAGATTCGAATGCGCTCAGAGCTGCGAGCGATACTAGGACGCAGCCTGCCGCTGTGGATGAAGAGCGCATCTCGCACTTGTCGAGTCAGATCGCATCCTTGCAAAAAGACCTGACATTGTCCAGCGATCGCGCTTTGGCCGCCGAGAAGGAGAGAGAAGAGTTGCGCGCTGCTCAATCGCGAGCTGAGAATGCCTCGACGACGCTTCGCGACGAGCTTGAAAGTCTGCGGCGCGATGCGGATGCGCGAGTCAAGGAGCTGCAGGATGAGCGGACTGCTCGGAAGCGCGACGAGCTGCGAGAGGGGCAAGAGATGTCTGCGCGTCTAGCGCAGATGAAGCGCGACCTCGAACAAGCTCGTCAGACCATCTCCACCCGGCAAGAAGAGCACGAAACCGCTCTGGCGCGACAGGCAAAGGAGCACGCGACACAGCTCGATGGTGCGGAGAGGGAGAGGCAACGTGCGCATGCGCTCCTCGAGGCCGAGTCTGGTGCGCGCGAAGCGGCGCTGGCGGATGCTCGTGCGCTACATCAGGAAGAGCTGAAAAGGGTGCGCACATTGCATGAGGAGGAAACGCAAAGTAGTGCAGCGTCGCATGTCGAAGAGCTGGCACGACTAGACGTTGCTCACGAGCAGGCTCTGAAGCAGGCGAGTGCAAAGGCAGATACGAGCAAGCGGACAGAGGCGGAAGAGGCTCGGGCGCAATGGGATGCGGAAATGGCAAGGTTGCGCGAGGAGCATGCTTCGCGTTTGCGAGCGGTGGAGCAGGAAGCGCGCGATGCGGCCGACAAGGAGCACAAGGACGCTCTTCGCAAGGTGGAAGAGCAGCACGCGACGGCTTTGCAATCCGCAAAGGATTCCACGACGACGGCTTTGACGCGAGAGGTCGATCGGCTCAGATCAGCTCACGCGTCTGAGCTCGCGAGCAAGATGACGGAGCACGCTTCGTCGTTGCAGAGCTTGAAAAATTCGCACGCTGCTGAGCTGGAAGCTGCGCAGGCGGGCGCAAAGGGCGATCATCAGCTCGCGCTCGAGGGACTTCGGCATGCCCATCAGGCCGAACTGGCACGGGAACAGCAGGCTGCGCAGAACGCTCGAACGAAGGCCGACGAAGCGGTCCGAGAGGCTGAAGCGAGGCACGAAGAGCAGCAAAGAGAGCTGACGAAGCGCGCAGAGGAGCTGGATGAGGAGCGCAGCAGGAGCAGAGCGCTGGTGGAAGAGCAGCGCGATGCGTTGATGCGGGCGCAAGAGGAAGCGGAGCGGAGCAGGATTGGGAAGGAGAAGCTTCAAAAGTCTCATGCGGATGCGCTCCGAGAGGCCCAGACCAGCGCTGCGGATCGGACAGCGGAGCAAAAAGGTGCGCTCGACGATATGCGGACAAGGGCCCAAGCGGCGGAGAAGGTCACATCGGACTTGAAGCAGCAGCTGCAGGAAGCTGAAAAGAAGGCCAGCGCCAGCGCGGCCGAGGCTGAATCGCAACGCGTCACGATGCTGTCGGATCATGATCGGGCGCTCACGAAGCTGCAAGACGAGCTGCGTAGCGCTTCGGATGCTGTCAAATCGCACGAAGCGCGAGCACAGGACCTTTCCGAGGAGGTCAACAAGCTACGACGGGACACTGAAGCGGCGCAAAAGGCTGCAGAGTCGACTGCGGAGCACGTCGAAGCTGAACGAGCACAACTCGAGGCTGAGCTGCGCAAGGCTCGCGATGCTTCGAGTGCTGAAAAGCAAGCTGCGCACGAGGCGGAGAGAGATTTGCGAGTCGAGATGGGTCTGCTCGAAGAGGAAGTGGAAGAAAAGAGGCAGAAACTTGCGGAGCAAGCTAGTCTGCTCGGTGAAGAGAATGCAAAGATCAAAGCGGATTCGCAAAGTCGCATCGACTCGCTCGAGCAGGCGCTCAAAGATGCCAAGTCTCTACACGAAGCACGCAGTCAGAAAGCGCAAGAGGAGCTTGCAGGGGAGCGCGAGAGGGCGGCCAATGAGCTGCAGAGCACTGCGGAACGGCACGCGAAACGAGTGCAATGGCTCGAGAGCGAGCAAGATGCTACTCGAGCAGAATTGCAGAGCGCAAAGTCCGAGCACGATGCTTTGCGCAAGGAGCATCAGGATGAAGAGTCCGCCCATGCGAGCGCCAAGACGAGAGTGGCAGAGCTGATTGCTGGACTGGCCGCTGTGAGCAAGGAGAGAGACGGCCAGGCTTCGGACCTGCAAGAAGCGCGCTCGAGTGCGGACGCATTGCGAACGCGCACCAAGAGCCTCGAGAGCGACTTGACTTTGCACCGAGATCGGCTGCGCGAATCCGAGGCGCAGGTGGCGGACCTGCAAACGCGCTTCGACGATGAGAGGCGGGCGCGAGAGACGAGCGCGGAGGAGCTTCGTCGTGCGTCGGAGCGCGCTACGCAGCTCGATGCCAAGCTCGAAGCAGCTTCCCAGGAGCTGCAGAGTGCCAAATCGATCTCGCAGGATCTCGAAGCGAAGAATGCGCGCGGTGCGCAAGCTCATGCTGATTTGCAAACGGACCTGGAGCAAGTGCGAGCTGGCGCGACGACGTTGCGAGCTTCGCTCGACGAACGCACAACGGAGCGCGATGAAGCTGCTCGTCGACTCGCTTCTGTCGAGGAGCGCGCCAGCGAGCTCGAAAAGGATGTTGCGCGGCTCGAGAAGGATCTCGACGGCTCGCGAGACGAAAAGACGACGATCAAGGCGGCACTGGACGATGCGCTGGAGAGCGGCAGGGAGTTGTCCGAAGAGCTAGAAGGTGTCAAGAAGACGCTAGAGGAGCGCCAAGATCGTGTACAGAGTCTGGATAGCGAGCGAAAGCGCCTGACTGACGAGCTGGAAGAGGAACGCGGCAAGCATGCCGAGGTGCAGACGAACCATGTCCGGTTGACGGAGGCTCATGCGCAAGTCACGACGAAGCATGCGGAGGAGGTGGAGCGGGCCAAGGATCTGGATGCGCGACTGACTTCTACGCGCTCGGATCTAGAGGCGGAGGTGCAAGCTGCGAATCGGCTTCGAAAGGAGCACGAGGAGGAACGCGATGGACATGCGCAGACGAGATCAGCTTGCGATGCGCTTCGAGGGGACCTTCAGACTGCGCAAAAGGACATTCACGGGCATCTAGAGCAGCGGGAAGAGATGTTCAAAAAGCTCGCCTTGACAGAGACGAACTTGGAAAAGGCGCGCGAGGAGCTGAAGAAGACGCAGGAAGCGCGGGAGAGTGCGCGGGCAGATGTGCGAAAAGGCGAGGAGCGCTTGCAAAGCTTGCAAAAGGAGATTGAAAAGGAGCAGCAGCGATACGAAGATCTTGCAAAGGATCTGACCAATGAGCGAGCGAGCGGTGCTGCGCTGCGCACGTCTCTCGAAGAGAGCAAGGCAGAGGCAGTGCAGCTCACCGAACGCGTTGCTCAGCAGGAACGCCGCGCGCAGTCTGCAGAGACGCAACTCGAGACGTTGCGATCGGAGATGGCAACCTTGCAGTCGTCCATCGATACTCTGAAAGCTGGCGCAGAAGCGCTCGAGTCTGACAAGGCAAAGCTGCAGCAGCACTTGTCGACCGAGCGTGAGCGGGCAGAGAGCGTCGAGGAGCAGATCAAGGATCGCTCGGAGCAAGTCTCGCAAGCCCACGAACGCATCGGGACGCTGCAAGGCGAGATCGAAGAGGCTCGATCCGAGCTCGCTGCATCCGCTACCACGATCGAGTCGCTGGAGAAGAACGCGGCAAAGGATAGGCGCGCTCTGACCGAGGCCAAAAGCACTGGTCGAGCGCATTCGAAGCGCGCTGATGAAGCGTCAGAGGCGCTCGAAAAGGTTCGCGCAGAGGTGGAGGAGCGCAATGCGACCTTGGCTGAGCGCGACCAGTCGCTCGAGGTTGCTGAAGCGCAACGAGCGGAGCTGGACGACGCGTTGCAAGCTTTGCGAAAGAGTACGAGCGAGGAGCAAGCGGCTGCACAGGCACGAGATGCTGAAGCGGAGCGACAAACGAAGAGCTTGCAAGAGGAGATCAAGAGTGCCCAAGCGTCTCGCACGGAGCTGAGCGCCAAGATCGACGAGCTCGAGACGAACGAGAGGATGTTGAAGGAGCAAGGGGCGCGAGAACGCAAAGCGCGCGACGATTTGCAGAGAAAGGTGGATGATCTGACTTGGAGATTGGACGATGAGCAGGAACAGCATGCGGGGGTGCGCAGCGCCCACGAAAGCTTGACTGTCGATCTTCAGACTGGGCGGGAGAAGTACAGTGAGCTCGAGGGTGAATTGAGCGCGGCCAAGTCAGCCCATGACGAGACGCATCGCGCCTTGAGCGCACTTCAAGACTCCCATGCGAAGCTTGCCGATGAGCATGCAGAGCTGAACGATCAGCACAGGCATGCCAAGGAGGAGGCGGAAGCGGCTTCTGTGGCGGCTGCTACTTTGCTCGCTGCAGTCAAGCAAGAGCTCCAATCTGCTACATCTGCAAGGGACTCGACGGCGAACGAACTTGCAGAGAGCCGTGCGAAGGTGAAGGCGCTGGAAAAGACGGTCACTGAAAGCGCGGAGGAGGCGGATAAGCTGCAGTCTGAGCTGGACGCTGCGCGAGCGAATGCTGAGAACGGCATGGCAGCATTGAGGAGCAAGCTTGCAGAAGCTGAGCAGCAGCTCGGACGCACAGAGAGCCAGGCTCGAGAAGCTGCTTTGGCTGCTGCTGCGATGCTCGAAGATGTCAGGAAGAAGGGAGCTGCGGAGCTTGATGAGCTTCGTACCATTTCTGTGCGAGAGGCTGAACAAGCCGCTGCAGCTCTGGCAACAGCCAGGTCGGAGTCGGAAGCGAAGCTGCAAGCGGTCCAGGCGGAAGCTCGATCTGCCACTGCATCGCTGGAATCTCAACTGCGAGATGGAGAACGCGCGCGAGGTGATTTGCAAGGCGAGCTGGAGAGCGCACAAAAATCGGCAAGTGATTCTGCGAGCGCTCTAGAGAAGGCTCGAAGCGAGCTGGAAGAGGCGCAAAAAGCTCATGCGGATGAGCTAGCAAGATTGCAAGCGAAAGGGCGAGCGGAGCACGAGGCGTCGGAAGAAGCGGCCGAGACGGCGCGCAACAAGGCTCAAGCGGAAGCGTTTGACCTTCGCGCAAAGCACGCAAAGAGCATGGAGGAAGCGCAGCGCGATGTGCAGGAAGCTAGGGACGCTAGGGATGATGCCGAATCCAGACTCGTCGAATTGAGGAAGCGAGCGGAGGAGAGCAGAAAGGGTGCGGATGCAGAGGCTGAGAGGCTTCGAGGGGAATTGGAAAGGATTGCGAGCGCAGCGCATGCCGACAAGGAGAGCAGTGCAGCCGAGCTTGCTCAGCTACGCAAAGAGCGCGAGCGATCCGTCGTGGATGCTACAGAGGCGCTTCAAGCGGACATGGCGGCGCTGAAACGCAAGCTCGACGAGGCCAACAGCGCTCGCGAGATTGCAGAGCAACAGCGAGCGGAGCTGGAGGTCAAATTGCGCGACGCTGCATCGAACGCTGTGCGCGAGCCGGACAATGTGACGATCTTTTCGGCGGATCACGTAGAGACGTTGGAGCATGCGCACTCCATGGCATCATCGACGCTTCGATCTCAAGTTCGAACATTGGAAGGTAGAGTGTTCGAAGAGACGGATCGGGCAAATCGAGCTCTGAGAAGGGTGCAAGAGCTGCAAGAAGGTCTTTTGGCTGCTGGACTAGAAGCTCCTCCGCCCGTCGCTTCCACGCTCAGAAGTCCTCCTGCACCACTGCCAGCTCTTGCGATGCAGGAACGTGCAAGGTCTCCGATGCAGACGCGTCTAGCACAGTCAAAGGAGGAAAGCAGCAGCAGCAGCAGCAGCAGCAGCAGCAAGCCGTCGAATGGACGTTCGCCCGAGATGGAGAAGAAGCAGCTCAAGACGCAGCAGCAGCAGCAGCAGCAGCAGCGCGATTTGCCCATCGCCAGCGTTCCGCTGCCCATGCCAACGATGGCAGTCATTGCCGCGCCAGTCGATGAAGAGGAGGAAGAAAGGCAGGACGAGCACAATGCGTCGCTTGTTGTTGGGAGCAGCAGCAGCAGCAGTTCAACGAAGAGGGCGCATAGAAGAGCAGCGACTGCAGCTGCGCTACCTTCCGCCTCTTCCCTCGCATCTAACAACACCTTACCAACCTCCTCCTCCTCCACCACCGCAGCAGAGGAAAAGAGCATCTCGGAAGCGAGAAGAAAGCAGCTGCTCAAGCTTTCTAGCGCTGCTAGGAAAAAGAGGGAGAGCGAAGCGGCTCAAAAGTGAAAAAAGTGGGCTCCCAGGGGAGGAGTTGAGCGCAGGACGAGTTCAACAGGCATGCTGGGGCATGAAGATTCGCTTAGTCGAGAGGAGGCTCATTGCTGCGAGTTGTAGATGCAAGTCTTTTTCGATTTAATTGTACAAGTACAAGCGAGCGCGTTGGCGCGCAGTGCGAGGTCCAGCGCGAGCAGATTCCCAGTTGTGCGAAGCCTGTAGGAATTGCGGACCCCACTCGTCCTCGTCCTCGTCACCTCTCGTCCAGAGGATTAGCTCTGATCTTCATAAACGTGTCGCATCCATACCCGTACATGCTGACGAGGTCCAAGCTACCTCTTCCATGCTGGGCATAAATGCTGGTGAGCGTTGCGCGATGCCGTTAGCCTCGTGCGAGATCAAGCTTCGCAGCAGCAGCACAGATTCGGGTGCCGCAAGAAAGACAGCAGGGGCAGGGGCAGGGGCAGGCAGGCACACTCACCGACTCATGGGCAAGCCGTAGCCCAAACCCGCCAGCGTGCCCATCCCTCCTCCTACGCCCGCTCCCGCTGCGCCCATCTGGCTCAGCACGTCCACACCCACCGCGCTGGTATTTTGCAGCTCCGAAGGGTGCGCCATCCCACCGCCTGCCATTGCGGATATTTCCACCTCCTCTTCCGAAGGCGAAGAGGCAGTCGTAAAGGTGTATTCGAAAATCTTGGAAAAGTGCGCTGGAGACGGGCATGGGGGGGGAATGTGCGCGTGTGTGAGCGGAGGTGTGAAAAGGAGATGGAGCAGGAAATACGCACCGGGAGGAACACCGCCGCCTTCATCCCTGATGCGCATGGTCAGGTGCTTGCGACTTCGAGCGACGGTAATCTTGACGCTGGGCATGGGACCCAGTGCCGCTTCTCCGCCTCTTCGGATGTACCTCTCCGCCGTAGCTCTGTAGGAATTCTTGAGCAGCTCAGTCATCGTGTACGTCTGTTGGAGTGAGCGATCTCTGTGCGTGGTCAGCAGGAAGCAAAGGGGGAGAAGGGCGCAAAGGGGGCGCGCGACGCAGCCAAGATGCGACCTCTTGCTCTCACTCACCAGATGACTAGCAACGCCGCAAAAAGTGCTGCCCAAATCGCCCTCCAACTTGAGTTCTGGCGCGCATCCAAGACTCGTCTCGCAAAGCGCGTGCACGAACTCCGCACAGCCTCGGATGAGATCGGCAGCGTTGAGCGAAGTGTCGATGATGCCTACGGATGTAGCGCTCGCAGCTCCCTGCGTGTGCGAAGAGGTCAGTGCGAGGTGTTGTTCGGCGATCAGACGAATGCCTGTCTCTCGCAGCGCGGTGAGGTGCGAGGTCGCCAGCGAAGCGAGAAAGATGAGCGAACGTCAGCACCAGGCGCGAGGTACGAGGTAGGATGGAGCACGACGGACTCTTTTCCACTCGACTCGCCTATTCGACTGTGAATCGCGCCATCCAGGAATGCGGAAATGGCAGAGGCAGACATGTACCGCTTGCTCTCCAAGAAGCCTGCGGCGGGGAGGTGGGGTGTGAAGGGCAGGTGGTGATGGACAAGTCAGCAAGGCGCGCGCACTGAGATGATGACAAGAGCGCGCATCCTACGCCTTTGCGGGGCGCCCATCCTACGCCTTTGCGGGGCGCACTGCTCTCACCCCTAGCAAGCGTAGGGATATTCTCCCGATGATCCTCCACCATTCTCTCCAGCTCCCGGGTGAATTCTTCGTTGGCATCGGCATCCATGACGGTCCTTAGACTGGCAATCTTCATGAAACTGGCGGCGTAAAGTCTGGCCACTTTTTGAATGTGAGGATTGGAACCGACGATGAAGGGAAGGTTGCGGAAAGCCAATACTCGACGAGCAAGACGTAGGGGCAGCTCGGTCGCTGTGAAGCGGGCGCTGGAGAGGAGGTGGGTGGAGGAGGGACGCGAGCCAGGAGAGCCGCCGAGGGAGAGGAGAGAGCGTAGGGTAAGAGAGGTGGGAGAGTGGGAGAGGTAGCGGTCTAGCAGGTGCGAATCTGCTCCGAACGTCGAGAGCGTAGAGATGGGCGGAGCGGGAAATGCGCTCGAGTTGCTGAAGTTTGCGTTGGAGGTGCTGCTGGAGGAGGAGGAGGAGGAGGTGGTGGTGGTGGTGGTGGTGGTGGTGCTGGGTGTGGAAAAGGGTTCGGGCGGTGGATAGTAGGAGAGATGACGATGTGCGGCGGCGGTGCGATGAGATGCTGCCTTGATGCCACTGCCACTCCCACTGCCACTCCCACTCCCACTCCCACTCGCAACCACCGACCAAGCTCGACTGCACAACCCCGCCCCTGCGCTGTGAACATTGCGTCTCCCTGCCATTGTATCGCAATCGTGAACACTCTCCAAGACGTCGATGTGTGTGTGGTGTTGGTGGTGGTGGTGGTGAGCACAGCGATGAATGTGCAGCTCTCACAGCCGTTAGAAGCGAATGTACGCTCTGCAAACACGCACAGCGCGACCCGCACGCCAGCATGGCTCGTGCCCTGCTGCGCCCGCGCGCGCGCCCGCACGACGACGACCGTCAAAGTGAATTATCCGCGCAGAGATTCACATTTCGCGTCAAGGCGCACGCGTGGCCGCGTCTCGCAAAATTCACTTTTTCGTCACCGCGAATCCCTTCATCGCTCATCGCTCATCGTCGATTTGCCAATTCTCATCACGCAGCCAATAGTGTGTACAGGAGTGCAAAGCATGCTTCCAAGATACGCAGTCAGAAACGATGGTCTGGGTTGATGAGCTGAGCGGTGCAGATTACCGCTTGATGCTTGGTGCCAGATTGCGAGGGTCAATCGTCGCGGTGATGGCGATGCGCATCGCCAAGACATGGCTGGCTCGCATGCTGGCCGCACGACATTCATCGCAATCTCCTCATCTGCACCGACCATCGCCTTACTTACGCCTCAGGGGCAGGATCCAATGCTTCCACGTCCTCGTTCGTCTGCCCATCCTCGTCTTCCTCGTAGCCTGTCATATGCACCTCCGCAGCTCCCGAGGAATCCAGCGTGCTATCCGCGCCCGCCCCCGATTCGTGCGCCATCATCTCCAACGCAGTCTGTAGCATATGCCCATCATCTGTCTCTTCTCGTAGTGCAACTTGTACTGAACCGGCTCGCTCTTGTTCCTGCTCCAGTTCCTGTTCCTGTTCAGCCTGCAGAGCGTGCGCAGCCAAAAACGCGATCGCTTCAGCCTCTTCCCTTGCCTCTTGCTCCCTCATCCCTTCCTGCCCATCGCCCTCCTCTTCTGCTTCTTGATGCTCCTGCTGTACAAAACCAGCTTGCGCCTCCGCGTCACGAGTCGCAGTCGAAGGCTGAGATTGAAGAGCTTGAGCAGCCAAAAAGGCGATGGCTTCCGTCGCTTGATTTTGATTCGTCGCATCTTGTCCTCCTGGCGCGTGGTCCCCTTGCTCCGCGCCTTGCTCGCCTGGCAAGCTCTCCAAAGCAGCCTGACCGGCACTTCCACCTTTGACACCGCCAGCGCTGGCGCTCCCAATCGCCATCGGCCCCTGCATCGTCTCAAAAGGCAGATGATTGTGATCCGCACAATTGACGGACAATTTCCACGTCGCGTTCTCCTTTTCTGCATCTTTGAGCTGCACTTTGGCTCTGAAAGGGCAGCTCATCCTCTCGATCGTCCGATTGCGCCTTCTAGTCTCTTCCGTCACCCCATGCCTATTCTTGTACACGCCAGACTTTTTGCATTCCAGGTAGACGAATGGAGATTTGCGCCATTCTTCCAGATAAGAGGAGCGTTTGCGGACATTGAAGCCGGCGGCTTTGGACCAGACGTGAAGCGCTGCAATACCGCTGGATGCGTCTGGAAAGAGATCGGACTGCGTCGCGGGCCACGGCGAGCTGAAGAGAATCTCGGTCGGCGCAGGCGGTCGATTGCTGGGATCGGCTCCAGCTGCAGCCTTGCTCTTGCCCTTGCCTCTTGACTTGACCGACTTTTTTCGATTGGATGTGCTCGCTGCATCTTGTATTCCCTCCTCTGCACCCGTCTTGTCCTCCTTGCCACCAAATTCTACCGTCGTGCCTGCCCCACCTTCCACCACCTCGTCAGCAAGCGTCGCGTTCGCCAAAGGCGGCTCCAATTCGCCCAGCTTCGCTTCCTTGCGCTCCTCCAAAGGCAACCTGCTCGGACCAGGCTCGGAAGCCGTCAGCCAAGGCTGAGTCTGAGCATCTTCTTTGACCGCTTCATGCTCAGCATTCGCAGCTTCATCCATCGCCGCCTCGTGGTTGGTGAGCCCAGTGTCGCGCTTGGTCTCCGCTTTGGGTCTTTTTCTTCCCTGCTTTACACTTGCAGCGGCATCCCGCTCGTCTAGGACTCTTTTGCCCACATCGACTGTAGATGCAGCCGCCTTCGTCGGGGCAACCGAGACTGACGAATCTGTGGTGCTGCTGGTCGGTAAAGGCACAGAGTGACCAATCGCTGAAGAAGGGCCCGCTTCGTCCGACATCTTCGCAACGCGACCTATGCCGCCACCTCACTCAACTTTACCCTCGAGTATGTGACCTCTGTGCAGCACTCGTGAGCGCAGCCGTCGTCCAGTGCTTCTGTTACGATTCGCTCTTCCTCATCCAAGCGCCCGCCACTGCCACAACACGTCCACCAGCCTTACCCCACGTCCAACTCCCGACGTGTCCCTGCTCGCCAAACGCGGTGCGGCAACCAGCGCGAAAGAGGTCGCACTCGCTGATCTGCTGACAGTCGAGAGTAGGATGAAGATGTGAGAGAAGCGTAGCGATTCCAAGGAGCGAAGAAGATGCAGCGATGGAGAGGAGTGGGATGCGAACACCTTTGAGTTGAATGCGCGAATCGTGGATGAGGGAAAGAGCGTGACGCGTAAAGCGAGCGGCGAGATCTTCGACTTGAAATTTGCGCCCGCGTCATCGCACGCGGTGGTGCAATTTGCGGGGGGTGTGTGCGATGGCCATGCGCGCATTGCATGGCACTTCCAACAAATTTGGTGTACCCTCAGCAAAAGCCCTGATCAAGTTGCCTCCAAAGGAACAATCTCTCTCATTCTGCGTCCAAAGCCAATACAAGTCGGCGTTTCCGCTTGTTGCTCTGTGGTTCAGGTCCTTCCCAACCCTCCCAGAAAGTCCACGACCAGTAACACCAGAGTCAGTGAGCCTTTTACTTTGCCCAACTGCACTGTCTTTGCTTCTTGGTCAGCTTGGCTACAGCTTTTCACTCTGCTACCTTCTCCTCAATGCTCAAGATTCCTGATTAGCTCCTCAGCCCAGACTCTGTCATGATGTGCCAGGCAGTGCATGTCATGCCCACCCTTGCCTTCAAAAGACACAGCATGTTGACTTGCTTGATTCTCTCCAGCTCCCATGCCATCTCTGGCATGCACAGCGCTTCCCTGTACTGAGAGTCCAACAAAGTGATTCCCAGCCCTTCCAGCCTCGTCCAAACCAAGATGTCATCCCTAGCATCCTTGTAGCGCTCCATTTTGCCTCCAACTCACCTTGTTGCTCCTTACCGTAACGCACCATCTCCACCTGGTCCTTGTACCCCTCTTCTCCTGCTTCTTGTTTCCCTCTCCTTCCGCTCCTTGTCTTACCCCCCCCCCCCCCCCGGGGGCGGCCCTCCCCCTTTCCC